TCCCCTGTTGATGGTCAGGGTGGCACATTTGTCCAGTCCAAACTCCATCGCAATACCTTGGCTGTATATTTGGACAGTGTTGAACAGCAATTCCATTTCAGATGGTGTTTTTCCATACAGCTTCAGATAGTCCATGTAAAGGGGGTACGATAGCGTGGCAGATGTTTTCGATGTTTGATAGCCATGGCCTGACTTGTTCAGTATTCTTGACAGAAGAATCAGTGCAATGACAAACAGTAGTGGTGATAGTGAGTCTCCTTGAAAGATTCTTTACTTGATGTAACCTCTCCCAGTCTATCACCACTGACCAGCAACTGTGTCTTCCGTTGATCTTTGCACTTTCTTTAAATTAAAAGGTGGCTGAGAGGGTTATGTAAGTTGGCTCCGGTCTTTTGCCATACAGTCTTCTTTCCAATGATATACAATGTCCCTGGCTTTCCATTCAATCCAAAGGAAAGACATCTGCAAGAACTCTTCCCAAGCAGGTGCTTTCAGGGCAGGAAAGAGGATGCAGGTAAAGAAGAAATGTGTGATCAAAACAAGCACTTCACTTTCTGCCACCTTGTAAGAATAAAATAAACTTAAATATGCCATCTCTGAAAGAAAAATCTGAAGTGTCTGGGAATGAGGAAGAAAAACAAAAGAGATCAAAAATTTCCAGAGAAAGGACAGAGTTTAAGTGGCTCAAACCAGGATGCTGGAACCCAGGTTCCCAAATGCCTAGTGCTAACCCTGGTTCCATGTCTTCATATGTTCCTTATCTCAAGCTTTCTTTGGTTTTTCAGACTACATGTTCAGACTTGAGGTTAGTGATGGAGTGGGAATTCCCACCATTCCAGTACACCCCATTGGCTACCACGATGCTGAAGTTTTATTACGGTATGCAGATTAAATTACTTTCAGTAGTCTTGTTAATTGAAAACAGGGCACTTCAATATTATTTAACTTCATTTCCTTGTGTCTGTGTTTTTCTGAAAGGTGTGGGAATAAATCATGACATGGGGCTGCATTAACATAACTTACTTAACCACCTTGGTCAAGGATTTACTGGCTGCATTTGTACCACAGGCTAAACTTGATCAGTTTTAGCCTTGGTTAGTTTTTTTCACAGCTGATTGTAGGATGAATAGCAAGCACATCCTGTTTGGTTCTTCATAGTTCAGTGTATTGAGCAAGTGCAGAAATGGGTTCATTCAAGAGCTAGCTGTGTGAGTTGAATAAATCCAGGCTCAGATCTGGATTGAGGCCCAAAGTTCACAAATGCAGTCTATCTGACAGGGCTGCTGGGAGGAGAACATTGGGCAAAATTGGGAGCTGGGCATGCTTGCCTACTTCAATGAACTACTTGGAGGAGGAGGTGGGATAAAAATAGAAATTATAGAAAGTATGGAAGAAATATAGAACTGATCTTGGGGAGGGAAGAAGCAAACCATTAAGGGTGGGGGGACTTGTGGAAATGGTTACACAGTTCCGAGATAGGGGGAAAGCCTGGGAAATAAATTAAAAATAACCATGCTTTGATTTACGATGGGACAGAGTGAAACTTGGACAGGCTTTCAAATTTCTATTATCTCTACCTTATTACAATAAAGAGCATTCCTGGAATCCCTGTGTGTCTGCTCCTTGACCTGACCTACCTCAAAGGGCTGTCACCAATCTTGAAAGCTTGTCCAAGTTGTCCAACCAGGAAGTGGGTTTGGTGTAGTGGTAAAGGTGCTGGACAAGAAACCAGGAGATTGTGAGTTCTAGCGTTCCCTTAGGAATGGAAGCGACTTTGGGCCAGTTACTCTTTCTGAACCCAACCACTTCAGAGAGTTGTTGTTGGGATACAAACCATTGATTGATTGATTAGCTTTAGAAGCTGCCAGACTTGAGAATGACTCTGGGCAGCAAAGACTTATAATAGGAAAACAGTAAAAAGCAAGTGACAGAACCTAAGCATCTGGACAAACTACACCACAGTCAGTCATCCTGGATTCCACAAATACCCTATCCCAAGGCCTGAGAGGACAGCCAGGTTCTTAAAGGACATCATCAGGATGGGAGTTAAAAGGTTCTCAAAAGTCAGGACAAAAGATGGAGTGTGTTTCCTTGCTTTTCCAGGTTCATGGGGGGCCCTGCAGCTCCAGATAAGAGTTGGAAAGGAAATCTCAACGTATCCTATAACGTTGGGCCTGGATTCTTAGAACGCTACTCCACAAGGTTAGTTCTAGCATTTTTGTCATCTTGCTTCCGGTCCAGCTCAAACTGGGCATATCCACTTAAAGCTGGGAGTTGTTTTCATCTTCTGAAAGGTCATGGCGTGTCTTAGGAGCTAGGTGAAAAATCAGGACATTCCCAGTTCAGGTCAACACTCTTGTCTTGAATTTGGCAAGCAGTTTCAAGCAAGCTTTTCTGTCTGAACTTCATTTTTCTTCACCCCCATGTAAAAGGGGTACTGCTGCTAACCATTTGGGAAGGATGTTGGATCGATTTCCTAGATTTTGGATAGAGCTGCAGCAAAAGCCCTGTTTTCACCCTTATTTTGCTAGAAAGGAAAGGAGCATGGAGACAAAGTGATAAGCAGAAAGATTCTGCTTTTTGAGAGGGAGAAAGAGCTTCCATTGTTTTTGTGCAATTGAGGAAAATGGTGTCATGCTGCTGTGACACAAGATCCATCCCTTTTCTATGTGCATGCACTGTCATGTACAAAAAGGCAGGAGCTTTTGCACTATTCCATCATAGTGAAACTGCGGTTGTTATTTGCCCCTCCCCTGTGCACCCCCCCCGGCCTGCCCCTGTGGATGTCTCTGGGGAAAGTTCTTAGGGAGGGTGGGGAAGAGCTAATTTCAGAACCACACCAGCAGCACTTGTATGTTTTCTTTCCCTCAGCCCTCCACCGAATTCATGGATGTTTAAATGCAGAGTGTTTTAATGTATATTATTTCAGTTATTTAATTTGCACTATGCTGATAACACTTACCATGATAGCCAAAAATGCAAAGGATCTGCAAGCTCTAGTGATAAAAACAAGGAACACAGTGAAAAAAAGGGACTAAAATTAAAAATAAAAAAAGACCAAGCTAACTACAACTAGCCTTAGAATTGACAATGAAGATATTGAAGTGGTGGATAGCTTCTGCCCTTTAGGATCAACCGTCAACAGTAAATGAACAAGCCATCAAGAAATGTGCCTCAGACCAGCACTCAGTAGAGCAGCCATGAAGGCCTTAGAAAAGATATTCAGATGCTGTGATGTGTCCATACCTACAAAGATCAGACTTGTGCAAGCTATGGTATTCCCTGTGACACTCTATGGAAGCAAAAGTTGGACTTGAAGAAGCAAGATAGGAAGAGTATTGAAGCTTTTGAACTCTGATGGTGGAGAAGACTCCTGAGAATATTGTGGACAACCAAGAAAACAAACCAATGGATCATCAAACAAATCAACCCAGAGTTCTCACTTGAGGCAGAAATGACCAGGCTCAAATTATCCTACTTTGGACACATTATGTGAAGAATTAGCTCTCTAGAGAAGGCTCTAATGCTGGGAAAGGTGGAAGGAAAGAGAAGAAGAGGATGGCCAGCAATAAAGTGGAGAGACTCAATTACAGTGGCAATGAGTGCACTGTTAGAAGACCTGAAGCACCAGGTTAGGGACAGATCATCATAGAGAAAATCTGTGTGGTTGCTAAGAGTCGACAATGACTTGATGGTATACAATCAATCAACTACAAGGCAAAACACAGAAAGATATGGTCTTTGCACAAGACAGATGCATACGTAGTGATTATTTTACAATGTAGCCTGGGGAAGAAATACAGCAGACATCAACACAATGACATAAATTAAAATAAATGTGGCCATAATTGGAGGAGGAAACATAATTGGAAGGAACAAACCTATTCATTCAATTTGTCTGTGCTGCAATGTACAGAACTCTCAACTGGGCACAACAACATATAGTAATACAATAAGACATCCACAGGAAAAGCATCAGATCAGTCCTAAAAAAAATACAATAAAATACAAATCATTCACCATACCTTGACATCTTCTCTGTTCCCCAAGGCTCTCGGGAACAATTTAGTATCTATCTATCTATCTATCTATCTATCTATCTATCTATCTATCTATCTATCTAT